AGAGAGTTGGCCATTCTAAGGTAAAAACCCAGCGCATACAGTGTTCATGTTTTTTTGTTTTGTTTTGTTTCATCCAGACGGCTTCCTGCGCCCCCCCTAGGGGGTGCGCCCCACAGTTTGGGAACCTCTGCTTACAGTAACATTGTGTCTCATCATAAGCCAGTCACTGCTTACTGGAGAACCATCAAATATTAGAAAATATGACCAAATATGCACAGAAACCCGTTGAAACCTCAGACCTCAGAAAATGACCCTCCTCTCTCTCCGTAGTAAAATCCCTTCAGTTCTCACATCAGCATTATTTGGTTAATTCCTTCAGAACTTCCAGGCACTTTATATTAAAATGATTTTTAAAAATGTTCTGGAGGTCAGCCATACCTGCCGCCAACATTTGAAGTTATAAATGCAACATTCACTAAGAAATAAAAATAAAAAACAGTTTTTGTATCTCTCAACCAAAGATTTCATGTTTTTTTTTATGTTTTAAATGCCAAAAGAAATTGAATTAAAATTAAAATGTCTCCTTGTCTTTGTTTTTTAATTCAGTTGGCAGAATATTTAGACCTCAACTTTTAGAACATGTGACATTATTATTATGCTTTTATGATCTTCCTGAATTTAAACAACTATGTCTGTGATAAAAACAAACATGCATAATTAAAAGTATTTGGTTGACTGAAGGAACACAGAAACTCTGAGATAAAAATTAAAATAACACATCTCAGAGTTTGGATCAGAACTGGCTGGTTCTGATCCACAACAAATCTAATACACAAATAGACAAATAAAATAAAACAAAAATAAATTTTAAATGAGCTTATTTTGTTAGTCATGATGCTGGAGACTCATGATCAAAAGACACCATTAAAAAGAGCAAATTAATAAGACATCAGTGTTCTTGATGAGTTGACTAGAAGCCAACTGGATTAATAACCTGGATTTATGTTTTTGTTCAATTAAACTTTAAGTTTAGTTTGGAGCAGAACAGGAGCAGCTCAGATAGAAATTAATTATTTTTTATTTAACAACCTGCATGGCTGCAACTATTTTTTTATTCTAACAGGTCATGATGTATTTCTATTATCCTGAGGTCATATTATCTGGTTTATTCTAGAGAAAAGCAGAATAAACATCCGGTTCATTCCTTCTGTTTGTCAGATTAAAGCTGCGTTTCATTTGTTTTGGGTTTGGATCTGAACTCAGACTTTCAGGTGTTTTATCCCAGATTTTCCTGATCCTTTAAGTGGAGCTGCAACCGCCGTCATGTGACCTGTGACCCCATCATGTCTCATCATGACGCAAATCCAGATGTAACTCAACATCTGACCGCATGGGGTCGCTGTTGTCTTAGTTGTAATTGTTCTAGAGCAACCTCTCTTTCATATATCGAATATTGAATAAACCAGCTAAATGTCTAGTTTGACTGTAATGCAATGTAAACCAGTTTATTAATAACAGTAAAATCCGTTACTGTCAAACTTTAAATCTTCAGTCAGCAAAAGTTTTCAAATACAAACTTTTACAAGCTGTTCAGAAGAAGTGCAAAACTTTAATCACCCTCAGGACACTGTCAAAAATAACAGCGGTAATTTGGATTATTTAGCCTGTTTTAAGAGGAAAAAGTCATTTTCACTGAGAGAATATTACTTTTTCTTATTACTATTTATAAATGTAAGTTTAAAACTAAATATTTAGTTAGCAAGATAAATATCTAGCTTTAAAATGTCTAGTTTGAAGTTAAATTTTTAGCATGCACAAAATATTTTGCTGAGTGTTTTTATTTTGACACCTAAAATACTAATATTAACTTAATTCTGTCACTGAATGCTAAGTTTAGCTTTCATATCAAAATGAGCTAAAATGCTATTAGATTAACTGGCACCAGGGTACTTTCCTACATCTTTGCAGTCTGATGAAGCCCATGTTAGCAGAGCTTTGAGCGGAAACTGATGACCTATCGGCGGCCATTTTGGATTTGTTGAAGGCCAACGTGAAAATGTGCTACACTGTAAAAAACGACAAAGAGGCTGAAATTATTTCATTTTCTCTCTTTATTACAATCCACAGATTGGATAGAAGCTCATTTAAATAGTTTATCTAAAGGGTACAAAAGACACAAACAAGATGACAGTAATGCAATCCAGTGCATCAAAGAGGAAACGAAATAAAACTCAAGTTATGTTCAGTGAGTCTGGGCAGAGAGACCGGAGCTCCGTCTGAGCGGAGGAAAAGTCCAGATAAATTGTTCCCTGAGGTCATTTTCCTGGTTTTCTTTAACAAAGTGGTCCAATGGATCTGATGGGAAAAATCACTGATCTGATTGGATCTCCTTCCTTGTTTCACCAAACCAGCTTGTTTTTAGCTTTTCTGAAAAACCTTACTGAAAACTTTGTTACTCAGGAGCTCAAATTAGAAAAATGATTGTGAAAATCTTTATCTAACCCTTTCTACTGCAGTGTTTGTGAAACCCGTCCAATCCGACACGGTGAATCTGAAGGGTTTGATTGTAAAAAGCTTCGAAATGAAAGCAGAACGTCACAGCAGGAAGTTTTGACCAGCAGATCTAACGTTTCAGCAAAATCTTTCACGTGCGGATACAAGAACCAAACATGACACAAATGTTCCCCCAAAAAAAGCATTAGTCTCTGAAACACTCAAAATGGCCGCCATGGTGGTCAAGGAAAATATACTGTGGCCCTAAGTTTGCCGAAGTGTAATGCTTTTGGTGTCAAATTATACAGAAGTCATAGAAATCATAATTATAGGTAAGTTTTTGATTTTTCAAGATGGCTGCCATTGTAATGGAAAATAAATTTTTAGTTCTGCACAAAAATCTCCAATTAGATGAATGTGTTTGGTGTCAAATTAAAGCCTAAATATTTTCAACCATACAAATTATTTATATTTTCTTGATCTTGTTCTTTTTCTGGTGGACATTTTTCAAAATGGCCACCAGGGTTTTAATGTAGAATACATGTTTCCACTAAAGTTGGCAGGAATTATTATCCACCGCTAACCAGTTAAGCTATGTATGGTTCACCAGCCACTAACTAAAGGAGAATCTTAGTTATGCTAACGCTAAACTGTTCAATACGTTAAAAAAATTAATGAAGCTAACGCTAACCGTTAAGTGGTCCGTCTCTCGCCAACAGCAAAATCCTCAGTTTCTGATTCTGCTGCTTTTTATCACTTTAAAGTTTTATGGAGACACAAAGTTCCTCCAATTCATGGAAATGAGGAACATTTTATTCCAAATATTAGTTAAAAAAAAAAAAGGCAACCATCTTGAAAAATGGCCGTCATCCATATAGAACACTGGACCTGAGGGGTTAGCATTAGCATGCTAATGTTGATGCTTGTATGCACAGCTGAAACATTTTTGACGTGCTGCTGTGATGGAGGACGGCTGCAGAGCCGGTGTGACGTGGCGTAGAAAAACTTCTTGGCATTTTTGATCAGAAGAGAAAATCTGCTGTTCCTCCACATCTAAAATCCAAACTAAAGGGAGTAAAATGTGGTCGGGAAGAGCGACCCGTGTTTCGGGACTATTTACATCAGAAGGCACCTACAGCTGATGTGAAGGAACGACAGAACGGGAACCATTTATCCAAACTTCCTCTGCTCCGAGCCCGCAGGCTGGTCCCTCTCTGGAAGACAACGTCTGGATGGAAAACAGTCTCTCTACGGAAAACAGAAAGTTTCCAGGCGGCGCAGTAAACAAAGGGCGCTGTGGCGAGAAGGCCTCAGGTCGAACTCCAAACGCCTTCAGTAGTTTCAGCAGGACGGACGCTACATGGACGCAGTCTGCTCTGTCCTCGTTAAGGCAACTCGTTAACCGACGGAGGGAGGACCCGCAGCGGCTGACACACACACACACACACACACACGCCCGTGAGTGTGTGTGAAGGTGGTGTGTGACGACAGGAAGGGGTGTGTCTGCAGACAGGAAGTGTGTCGAAGCAGCAGATCGATCATCGGAGGCGGCTCGGCACTCCGACTTCCAGTGTTTTCACATTTATCTTACCGTATGTACACATAAATACAGAACTCTGGTTGGTCCGCGTTGCCGTGGAAACCAGCCGGTGCCGCCTGTTCGAAGGGTTTCAGTCTCTGAGCTGAACGGCTCCGCAGCGGCCACACGGGGGCGCCGCTCTGCGATCAGGTGAGCTCAGGAGGCGGAGCTTCACTCTGCTTTCTTTATGAAGATCTGCAGGAACCGGACAGAATGAGGAACAATTACAAAATAAAACAAAACCCAGCATAACTCTTCAAAATAAAGCTTCACTTAAGGTAAAATGTGGGCTCTTATTTTGTAAGAATGCTGGTACTTCCTCCCCTTCTCCCCAAATCAAACATGACTCATGTCTGTCAGTTGTGCTAACTTTGTGCAGCTAATTGGATTTGGTTCAGCCTTTTCCCTCCAGGTGAGTTCAGAGTGACTGCTGGCTGCGAGAAACACTTCAGATGTTCACGCCCCGGTTTGTACCGACCAGGTGAGATAACCATAAAACACCTAAAATTAAATATGGAAATAAAATTATTGAGATAAAGTCTTGATTTGAAAAGATCCAAGATTACAGACTTTTTGAATAAGTTTGATTTCTATTTCTAATCTGTTTCTAATAAATGTGAACTATTATGCTTCCTTGAACAAGTTAATGTTTGCGGGCAACCTAAATTTTTTTTTTACATTTTTCCACAAAATAAATGTCAGATAATGAGATTTTACCTCCTCAGTTCTGTTTTCAGCTCC